CTATTGCAAGGTCAGTTTTTCTAACCCCATCCTGAGAATATAAACTTGATAAAAGTTGAAAAGTTGTCAATAAAGGTAATAAAAGTCCTTGAATCAGTGGTACTATCTGAGCAACTGTGTACCTACCCCTTAAATCATAAACAGTCAACTGATAACAAGTTTAGGTTAATGTTGGGCTAGCGAAGAAGTAGGTGTACAGATACTGACATTGATACAAGTTTTATACACTACTAAAACAATCACACTAGTTTGTTTCTCACATTCATATTCATTTTTCTAATTTAATTAGCAGATTGAAATACCTACTGTCATAATTTATCACAAATACATTATATAAGTAACAATTTCTTTTCATTAAATACACACTAAAAATCTTGATAATCTTATCATTTCGTCTCTGACCAAAGTTTGAACTTCATGTTCAAATCAAACAATCTACACTTCTTACATCTAATTTTTAGCACAAGTTCGAAAAATTTCTTACAGCAACTATTAAAGAATAATTTGTACAACTTAATGAAAATATCAATTATTGAACCAGGCAAACTGGGTGATACACAAGAAATCTGTCCTCGGCAATACAAGTGATAGTTTTAGCTGTAGTGTGATGGCAACTCTAGATGGGCTACAAAACCTGAGAAAACTTCTGAGAAAATTTCTCTTCTACCCAGAGGAACATTTTCCACCCCACCCTCCACAATTTTGTTAAACTGTGTGTTGCCATGGTAGCTTCTAACCATATATCAGACTCTAACAAAAAGAAAAATATGTCAATGTCCTTGCTAAAAGAAATGTAACACAAAATGTTCAAAGGGTTTTCACCTCTCAAATTTGAGATTTAACTCACACAAGAAACACAGTTACATATTACATTCACACATACATCCACCTAATTTCAGTCAAGCTGATGCTTACGGGGTGTAATTTCCTTTGAAAATATCAACTGCATATCTTAATTAAAGTTCAAAAATTAACCACTATCTGTATGATAGAAGATAAAACTGTTTACACCCTTTAAAATTCCAGGATGCAATGGCACACTACCCCAACAGATGACTCTACATTGCTCTGTTAGTTGCCCTGGGAATTAGTACTCTGAGTGAAGATCCTAAAAATGTCTTCTGTAAAGGAGAAGTGGTACAGGAGAGGAACCAATTTTTTTCCCGCAGCTTCCAATTATTAAAAGGATTGCCAAGAGTTGGAAAAAAAGGAGGGAGACCCCGAAACCTCACAGGTGAGTGGACATGTTGCCAAGCAAGATTCAAAATGTCTACTTTAAGTTACTCTTTAGAATCTCAAAACAACACCATTGATTTAAATTTAAATTTACTTTAGCATATCAGACACTAATCACTCCTGAAAGTTGAAGGATTAATGAATTTTCAACCTGCCCTGTAAACAATTAGTGATTACTTCTGGCTGTTCTACTTTTCAGTATGAAACTTGCACTGGAAATTGCAAAACTTCATAAAATCACCTTTTCAATTAGTTATTTCCACCCAAACCTTAAAATACCCTTTTTGAAACCTGAAATAAAAGACAATTTTTCAGTTCAGGTGCACTAGTTTTAAGTGTTCTTTCCAGGTCAATTATCACAAGTAATTGCTTTATTTCACCATACCAAAAAGACAAGAAATTTCTCAATTTTTTTCAGTGTTTTGATGTTACCCAAAGAGAAAGATGTCAACCTTTTTTTCCCACTGGTTGTAACCATGCACAAGATCCAAAGGGTTGATATTCTTTGAATAGGTCTCATGTTATAAGCAATGTGCTCAAATTTACTAGATGCTACAAGAATGGTTCTCTCTCTCTATATCTCTCTTGTGGTGTAATCTGTTTTTCCTTCTTGGCATTCCACAACCTTTACTTCTCATCTCCTGAAGCTCTGAACAGATCTTGGCCTGAAACAAATTGGTAGAAAATTGTTATGGGAAAGAGAAAGGTGCCACATTACAAAAAGCATTTGTTATATGACTAAACTTTCCAACCAATAGTCAGTGCAGTAAATGTTCATGATCATTCCCCAATTATTTGCTGCAAAGAAAAAAGAAAGGGAAGGGTGATTGAACTACAATACAAATATAATTGAGTAAGTTTATTGATATTAAAATATGGTTTCAGGCCCTTTTGCTTACCGGGACTTTTGAGAAATGGGCCCCAGACTACTAAAGAAATATCTGAGACCCCCTTCCTGACATGACCTTCATGTGATAATGACATCACAATGGAATTTCTAGAAATTGCATGTTCACAGAGATTTGAGTTGAGAAACAAAATGCTATTGTATGATGAAAAATTAAACAATATTGCCTTGATATCAAGTTCAGATATTGTGAATAAAATAATGCATACAATCTGATAAAAATGTGAATCCCAATTTCTGGAGAATGAAGCAACTAAAACCATTTTTCCTATTTCTGACTGCAGTGATAGGAGCATTGTAATGTTATAACCTCCCTCTTCCCATGCCCCTGATTATTTCAGCAAGTTGCCCTGTCAGTTTGCCAATAAAATGAAATTTAAGCATATTGCTGAGAACACAACCCAACCATCCTGCTGTGACCATACCCCAGATTAGATCCAAGCATTTCCCTCTACCAGGGAAAAATTTGAAGTCTAAAACAAGGACTAGAAACAGAAATACAAACTATTCAAATCTCTTATTAATTTCAGAGACAAGGTTATCTTTGAACATATTTTATTGTAAAAGTTCAACTTTCCTTTGTTCCCAAAAAATCATGAGCCTCATCATTTTGTTTTCAAGTAGAATTTAATAAATGATTGCAGCCATAACAATGTGTTCTTTCAACTAACTTCATGGTTCATTAATTTATTTATTTATTTAATCATTTATTAATGTAAATGATAAAACAAATATGCATCATACTTGACCATGCTACACCATATTTTCACCTTGCAAAAAATTGGATTTTAATAGAGTTAAGCGTGCTCTCCTCCTTAAATAAATACCCATAACCTAAGCACTGATTTTGCAAAATTCTTACAGTTATTTTTGGCATAGTACTTAAGATTTCAAAACATGATTTAATAAAAAAAAATCAGCCACAAATGCTATTCTGAAAGTTTACAGTAGTACTCTGTCACATAATTCCATTGTTGGTTTGTCTGCCTCATCACTACAACCACTTTCTGTGCTTTAAAAAATGCAAACTTCAGTACTTTTCTTATTTTTCTTCAATAACTCAAATATTTGGTGCACTCTAATTGGTCCAAAACCTATCATCTGTTACTACAATTATTGTAGCATGGTAATTCTGTCCTTGCATATCACTTTACTATCTCTAAAGTCAGTGATCTGACAAGCAAATAAATTTGTCAGAGTAAAAAATCATGGCTAACTTATGACAAGTGAATGAGGTTTTATGTACTTATGTCTAGCTAAACTGACTATTAAATTCAAATGTTGAGAATAAATCATGCAAGGTGAACAAGCTCAATAGAAGAAACCTCATACAAACTTTTAAATATTATTATTAACATTATGCAATGTGAACAAATCCCACCAGCACCTAATGATATATACAAAAGTTTCATATTGCTACATTGAAAAATAAGTGTACTAAAATATTAGATGTGAGAACAGTTCACTGAGAAAACATTGGGAAAAGATAAATTAAAAATTTTGCAAAATCATTATTTTCTCATAACCACTGAATGGAAAATTGCTGGTACAGTGGAAATGTACAGTGTCAGTGCCTAGTTTAACATGTTCACTGCACTTTTAGCAATATCAAACAACTCAACACCTTGTGATTTTATGGAGACATACTTTAGTTGTGCATCTTTTGAAATTGCAA